CCCGAGCTTGGTCTGAGCGGGACAGGAGGGCAGGGGCAGGTCCCAAAAGGCAGTCTGACTCTTACTTCCAGCAAGGACAGGAGTGGAAGGGTTTTAAGCAGAGAAGCAATTAATTAGATCTGAGTTTTAGAAAGAATTGAGAGATGCTGACAGGACACATGGAGGGAGGGACCATAAACCATCTGATTTCTTCAGCTACTGAGAAGGAACACACGATACATGTCAACAACTCACTGTGTGACAAACTTCTGCTTTTATCTCCTTCAGGGCTCGTTCGGAAAACACGCAACCACAGCACCGCAGGAAGCAAAACCTGCAGAAATGATCCAATACGGAGCATGACTTAAAAAATAATTTTAAAATTATTACCCACATTATCAATGAACATTTGTTCAGTTTATACAAAGGTCAAGAACCACAAAGAGAAAAATGGTTACATTTGATTCCATTAAGAAGAAGAAAAAAATCGGTGTGTCCTAAATAAATTACAGACACACACAAAGGTACCCCCTGCTTTTTGAAAGTTCACTTTACACCACTTTACTTTTACAAAGACCTACATTGGTACCTGTTTTCACTAACTGAAAGAAATTCGAAGTGGATTTCTGCTTCTATGAAGAAAAGGCAAAAAGCAAAAATTGCATTCAGCATCTGTTTTGCAGTGAGATGTTACACAGGCAGCTCGCACCCCAAGCAGCGAGAGCAGCGCCACCACGCTCCTTCCAGGGGAACCACACTCAGCATCTCAGCATCAGGGCCGTAGCTCTGAACTGTGTGAGCGTCTGTGCTTTATCCCTATTCAATCTGTGCATCTGGGAGCAAGATGTGTTCTAAGATAACTGCTTCTTTGACTTTTACCATTTCAGCTTAGGACAGGTTTCTTAGGAACTTAGGAAAAGTTCTACTTTTCAGGTAGAGGAGAAACCTGTATATTGAAATTAAAACCGCAAACATAGGCCAGAGTCCCAGTCCTACCCCTGTGCAATAATTCTTTGGAAAAAAGACTCTCCTACAAATAAAATAAATAAATACATATAAAAAAAACACCACATAGAAAGCCAACAGAATAGGAACTCAGGGACAAAATATTTTAAATATACATGATGTTCAGATTTTATGAATATTCAAAGAGGTCTTTAAAAGCAATAATAAACAGTATAAAAAATGGGCAAATGCATTAACATGCAATAGACAAGTAAATTACCAATGGCGAAAACACATGAAAGATGCTCACCTCAACTGTTAATTACAGAAATGCATTGCAAACAATGACACACAAAGTTTTACTTATCAGGCAAGAAAGAAACGGAATGAAGGTATGTAGTTGGAAATTGAGGAACAGGCACATTTGTTGGTGGGTGGGTACAACACAGTGCAACATTTCAGGAGGAGAGCTGGCAGCAGCAGAAAAGCATCACTCTTACCAGAATCTCTCCCACAGAAGCACGCCCGCCGGTGAGCACCTGCACGGGTATGTATTTATGAAGCTGTGCAGGACAGCACTGCTTGTGAAAGGACAGGAAACCACCTAAATGCTCACCAATACAGGGATGGTTAAGCAGGAACACTTATACTCCTATCTAAAAGAAGAAGGTATGATGTCCACGAAGACATGTTTAAATTAGACAGAAGTAGTGGACTATGATTCCACGGCTGTGGGGAGAACACACATTTAACACAACGTTTATTTATACCTCTGCTGCAGAGGTACAGGGAAGTGTGGCGTATGTGCTGGTGCTGGGGAGGTCTGAGGGGGGGCATTAAACACCAAACAACTAATAATGCTATCAACTAATAATGCTAGGATGGAAGAAAGGGGCAAAGAGCACTTTCACATTTTACTTTACACGTTCTAAAAATGCCACAATAGAAACTTTCATCAATTAACTTCCTAGAAAAATGGGAAATGCATTAACATGCAGTAGACAAGTAAATTATAGCAGAGGCAGATTGCCCTAACAAAAAGCCAAATTAATAACATTATACTTATAATGAAAAAAAATATGAAAACAAATACACGTATGTCTATGTATAACTGAAATATGCTGTACACCAGAAATTGACACAACATTGTAAACTGACTCTACTATAATTAAAAAAAAAGTACTAATATACATTAAATGTTGTTTAGGACTTAAAAAAATCCTTTGTTATGAATGCTTATTAATTATAAATAATATAGGAAATTGTTTTTTTAAACAAAGCTAAATGTATTTCATCACACTAATAACTTATTTCTATTTTTCAATTCATTTAAGTCTTTATTATACAAACTTTATTAAATATACAAACTAACCCCCAAATCAATTTTCTGGGCAGAGGACCCATTAACAGCAGGAGGGGAAAGCCAAAAAAGCCAATGCTCAGTTAACTGGGAAGAGAAAAAGAAGAAGAGATTAACCAGCAGATGAAAGGGAAAAACTAGGGGAGCCACAACCAGAGCAACCGGCTACAGGTAACCTCTGCTCAAGACCTGAGAGTTGAGTCCGTTTCTGTTAAGTTCCTCTTTTGGGGTGAACCGTGGTTTTCTTAAAAAGAAGTGGGAAGCCAGATATAAAAGGTCACATATTGTGTGATTCTATTTAAATGAAATATCCAGAATTGGTAAATCCACTGAGACAGAGAGCAGGAGGGTGGTTGTCGGGGGCTAAGGGAGTGGGGGGTGGGGAGTGACTGCTAGCGGGTAGGGGATTTTCCTCCGAGGGGATGAAAATGCCTCGGAACTAGAGAGAGGTGATGACTGCACAATACTGAATGCACTAAACACAGAAATGCACACTTTAAAATGATTACTCTTAGGACTTTTCATCCCAAAATAATGTGTATATATACACACACACACATCCACAGAAAAGTAGGACAAGGTTAGGTACATGCGTCTGGTTCCCCATAGTATTTCCTTCATAACCCAAATGGTGAATTTTAGCTTTTCATTTTATCTTTTTTTCTTTTCTCAGCTTTATTTAGGTAGAGTCAACAAACATGAATCATCTGTATGTAAAGTGTACAACTCGATGATTCAATGTCTGTATAGAATGAATGTGTACAAGTGAGCCAGAATGCTCCAGATTAAATGTGGTTGTTTACAGCTCATTAACAGTTTCTACACTGGAGATGCTTTCCCCCTTTTCTTAAGTGAAAATAGAAAAACAAACAAAACATCTACCTTTTAACATGTAATGTGTTAGACGGAAGATTCTAGAGGACAGTGGGCACTAACAGCTAGAAAAGATATTTCTGAACAGTGGGAAGTGAGTTTAAAGCTTGGCACAGTGAGACATGATAAAAAAGGCACCTACTAACCCATTCAATGTTCATATATTTTTTCTTTCTTTATTCTATTGTTTTGTTTTTATTTTGGGGGGACGGTAATTAGGTTTATTTATGTATGTATTTATTCATCTTTTTAAATGGAGCTACTGGGGATTGACCCAGGGCCTTGTGTATGCCAAGCCCACTCAATGTTCACATCTTTTCAGGGGGAAATACACTGACTTACATTTGCTGTATAAATCCCAACCTTGAGATTTCTAGAGCTCTAGGCAGAGGACTTGTCAGCTATAAATTCAAAGCAAGTTATCATTACCAGCTGGCCTTTCACTGATGGATCCACCCCACATTTTGGTGCATCGTGTTTAGCAATTGTAGGAAGTGGAGGTTTCTGATGTGAAGTATCTGTCCTTTGCTTTCTTTCCCAGAGGAAAAGATCAAAGAACTCAAGTCTCTAAGTGTCACAGGAGAAATTTTAAAAATTCCTTTACTTTAGGTTCTCCTAAACTCGAGAACAGAAGGCCACAGACAACAGAGGCCTTGGGAGAGAATGAACGTGGTCCTGTGCCGAGCACCACAGCCTCTGAGGCACTACTCAAACTGAAGGACACCTTAGAGAAGCCTGTGTGATGACCAAGTCCGGCACCGATGCTGATGGCACTGGATTAGCCGCCCAGGCTCCATGTCACCCACCCACGTTCACTACTGACCTGTGTCTGCCGTTCATCTCCAAGCCTACAACGGGGCAGATGAAACGCGCCCGCTGGAGGTCATCGTGTTTGTCACCTTTTGTGTTTCCTTTGTCTCCTTCCCAGGCAGGGTTGTCAGAAAGCCTTAGTTCGGTCACATTCTGTGAAAAACCATCAATACTTGAAGAGTTCCTTTGATCAATAGCTCACCTTTAGCTTTAACTATTATCCTAGTCCCTTTCCATCCAAATCTCTTCTACTTCCTTTGGCATCAATCAATGTGGATATAAAATTAAACTGTAAGCTGTGATATTAAAAATGCACTGTCTAGCAAATAATTAGTTAATTTCTATTTTATAGACATTATGTTATATAATAAAAAGTAACTTCTGACATGAGAAATAAGCCCACAAGGAGAAGAATGCTTTGTATTAGTTGCATCCAAAAAGGAGTACTTTCTTTCCTGGCTGGTGAAGCCTCACTGAGGCTGTTCACATGACTAACCACCATTGTTTATTTAATAGTTGAACAGACAGTAAAATCTGTGAGGCCACAGTCTAACGAGGCCAAGGCAGAATATTAGTCAAGACTACTGTCATATTTTAAGATCCAGCTATTCGGGTCTCAAAATTCAATTTTACAAGGAGTGACTTAGCAGCTCCACTTTAGCATTTGAAGCATTTCTTTACATCGAACTGCATCATTTGATTTCAACACTCTGGAGAGAAGCTGAGTGGCTCAAAAGGCAAGCCACCACACACGCAGTCAGCTTTCCGGCTGAAAGCCAGAGTGTGTCTCATCAAGTTCTCTGCTTGGAGTATTTGTACACTATTAATCACTGTAATAATAATCTTTGCATTGCTTTATGTCAATCTTTTTGTCTTTACAGTTGTGATTTCTTGGAAATTCTTTTTTGTGTTAAAATTAACAATGAAACCACATAGATTAAATATTGTGTTTTAAGTATAGATTTATATAAGTTAATTTCAGTGATATTCACATTTTTGAGATAATTATGCTTCCATGGGATTCTCAGAAACAAACCCTCTTCCCAAGGTGTAGATGACAAAAATAGGCATGATTATTTCTATAGCACTACCATTAGCTACACTTCAGAATTACTAACTCGTCTGAAATGAATATATTCTGTATCCTGTAACTACTCCAGGAATTCAAATGAAAAGCCTAAATTAATAATAAAAAGTTAAAAAAAGAAAGAGAAGGGGAAAAAAAGCCTGAGACTGGGAGTCTGGGGCTCTGGACCTGGTTCAAGTGCCTCACTCACTAGCCCCATGGCCTCAGTGTATCACACACAGTGAGCATTCTCACCTGTGAGGAGCGTGTTCGACAACCTTGGTGGTTCTCAAATTCTTCACTATTTTTCTGATTTTTCTCCCACTGCCCAGATTTGAAAGATTTTGTCCTCTCAACAAACTTCTTTTACCAAAAAACTTGTTTTTTCATTTTTATGAAAAAACTTTAAGTGCCAATTAGAACTTCCAATCAGCAGGAGATAACCACAATGATTTAATAGTGAACTACCTATAAAAATATGATTCTATAAAAGTGGCTTTCAAATAAGAAAATTCAAGTAGCTGAGTTTTAACTATAAAAATAATGCCTCCCAACATTTATAAATACAGCACCTTGAGAGTTTTCAAAGCTCTTTCACACATATTAAGTCACAACAGATTTAAAATCCAGGAAGTACTGGTGTGGGGACTTGGCTTGAGATTTAAGTGGCCTGCCCCAAATCACATCTTCATTAAGTGGCTAGGTGAAGCTGGAATTCCAAATTACCGAGTTCCGTCTGTAATGTACATGAATTCTGTAAAACACATCCTAACCAGAGACCCCTGGAGCATTTCAGAATTACCTGCCTTACCTTAATGCTTTTAATGTGAGATGCCGCCTTTCCAAGAGCCTTTTCAGATGATTTGTCCAATAGAAACTCAATGACGGCATCTTTGTTGTAAAGTCTGTAATGATAAGGACCAGTCAAACATTCTGGCAACAATCAACCTTTGCACAAAGGTGGAAGACTAGACTGAGTACAAACCAAAGTCATTTACATCTGAATAAGAAATGCCCTGCACTCCTAGAAAAGTAAATTTAATTCTGTCTCAACTATTTCCAAAGCATACAAAGGAAAAAACTAGTTTAAATAAAGGGCTGCAAACTGGCAGCGGCATCTGACCTAAACAAAGATTTTTACAAGTTGGGAAATTTAACATAAAAGTATACATTTTCAACTTTCCCTGAAAAAAAAAAAATCAGACTTTCTGGAATCCCTCAGTCCACATCATTAAACTGGAACAATGGGCTGGAACTGAGTAGCAGCTAACTCTTTAGGCAGGACATGAACTCTCCAGCTTCCCCCGGTCCTCACCATTCCCTACTGACCCACATGGGTCCTTCATGCATTTATGTTTATAATTAGCTTCTACTGTCTCCTGAGTTTTCAACCTATGGATTAAATAAACCAAACTGAGTAGGAAAGTGCAGAAGGATGTTCAGAGACATGGAAGGATAACCTAGGCTTCACAAATTTGCTTGAGATAATTCACATTTGATGAATCAAGAACTGCATTTACACAATAAAATTCTTTTTAAGATCCTCTAATAAAAACTCGTCTCCATTAAGTAAAGAAATCATACCTGCCAAGCTCACAGGCAACTATCGGTCGCCTTAATATTTCTTGACTTAGAGCACAGTAGTTCCACTGGGCTACTAATTCAGCATTTTTGTCAACCTGAGAAAAGAAAAAAAAATCCTTTCAATTAACTTCCACCTCTGAAAGAGCACACAGTTCACGGTTCTGCACATAAGGGCTTATTCAGCAATACCACACTGTGATGGTTTCTGTTTTTTAAATCAAAGTAACACAGGAAGTAGGATTTAAAAAGTGACAAGTACTCAATACAATGTTAAATAAAGGCCTCTTTACACCCAACATGTACAAGGGAACAATTTACATTGTCATTACATTGCTTATGCTAGCTACTTATAAATCCTAATATTTGTATCTTAACCATATGTCAAGGAGGCCTTACAAGAAAAAACAAGCAGTACAGGTTAATTTCTAACAATGGGAAAGGCTCCAAAGTTGTAGCAGAATTTAAGGACTAAGAATTGAGAAGATAGGTATTTTTGCTGAAAGTTCAGTTCACTATGTCACTGATATCAAACCATTATTCACACTATAAAATAAAAATCCAGACATAGGACCTTCCACAGCCCTCAAATGATATTTTTACCTTTTTAAATATTTCATGTCCCACTCTTCCCCCTTCCTAAAATGTCAAACCTGAGTAATGTAACAGAACAACACATTTGGGAGAAAATATGGAAAAAAATTTTTTTTAATTCCCTTTAATTTTTGCAGGAACAACTATTTAAGTGTCTACTGTGTGCCATGCACTGTGCTAAGCAGTTTCTGTGACTTAATCTTTTAGCTCTCATGAAAACCCTATGAGGTAGTATTTTTACCTTTGCAGTTGAGGAAACTGAGGTACCAAGAAGTTAGGTTATATGTCAAGGTCACATGGCAAGCAGACAAAGAAGTTAGGATAAAAACCCAGGCAGGCTGGCTCTAAAGACCATGCTTTTGATCACTACTCTCTATTGTATTTCTATTATTTTGTTGTTATTGTTCTATAACTCTAAAAATGTATTTTTTATTGAAGTATAGTTATTTACAACTAACTGTGTTAACTAACTAACTGTGTTAGTTTCAGGTTGGGCGTAATTCCTTACGCTGTACAGTAAATCCTTGCTGCTTATCTTATGTATAGTAGTTTCTATCTGTTAATCCCATACCAATTCATCCCTCCCCTCTACTATTTAAAATAAAACCAAACACACAAACGAAAACCCCCATCACACTACTCCAGTTGTTCTATTCATTTCCCAGATTCAAGAACCACACTTTGGCAGCTTAAATAGCTTTTTATCAAAATTCATAGTGCAGAAGGGCCCCAGGAGAGATATGTCACCAGTGAAGTTGATTTACTGTATTTTTTGTACATGTCCAGCAAGTTTAGGATCTACTTTCTAGATCTTCCATCTGCTTCATCAGTGAAAAAAAAAAAACACTGATTAAAAAAAACACTTGGGAGAGTTGGGGAAAGGGAACAAAATGATAAATTACTCTTTGCCCAGGACTTTAAAAATTGGTCCCCAAAAAGCTTCTGAAAACATTTCTTCCAGGGTCATTCTTTTCAGGGGAAGGTCTTAAATTTGAGCGATGTTTTGGGCCAGACCAATCATGTCGCATGAGTGATCAGCAAATGTTATTATGTATCTATTTGAAATGTAAGCTCCACAAGGACTGGACTCTGTTCCCTGCTGTATTCCCAGGGCCTAGAACAGTGTGGGGTAAGCACTTAGTAAGTAATTGTAGAGTGAATGAGGATAATAAAAAATCCATGCTGCCTTGGTACTCTAGTTGTTTCAGATCACCCTTTCTTCTTTTCTACCTGCTTCTGACATCTGTTCCTTGCCAAACTTTTCATCAAGCTACTTCTTTTCAGCTCTGGGAACAAGTTAACAAAATCAAGCTGAATACTCTTTGGGCAAAAGCTCTCTCACTCAAGTGGTAACTACACTGCATTAATCTATGCACATGTAGGTACGACTAGAGGGCACACTCCATCCTCTTGGTTGGAGTTCTCAAATTCCTCACATATTTGTTGCAGACACACCACAGGGGCCGCAGAAGCAAGACATACAAGGTCCTGTCCACATAGGAAACAGATAATGAACAAACAAATGAGAAGGGCAGAAGATGAGGTAAAAAGAGAGGCAGGGGTCTGATCACACAGGGTCTGGTGGGATATTTTTATTCTGAATACAATGGGAAGGCACTGGAGTGGTTTAAATACAGTAGTGATATATGGAATTTATCTTAAAAAAAAAAAGACTTCTCTGGTTCCTGAAGGGAAATTAATACGGACCACCAACAGTGTGCCAGCCACTTGTACTAGGTGCTTTACACACCTTTCATTATTAAAAAGTAATTGCTAATGCTAACCGTGAAATCCTGAATAACTGGATGGGAATCCTGGCTTCATCACCTACCAGTTGTGTGCTCTTGGTCACGTTCCTGACTCAATTCTCCTCTTAGTGGCATGGCAATTATAGTGCATAATTTACACAATCACTTGTGAGAATTAGGGATTATTCGCTCACTGAATTTACTGTGCCAGAAACTGTGCTAGTTGTAAAGGGAAAAAAGGCGCAGCCTCTGCCATCAAGAGCTTACCGTCCTCTGAGACCAACATAGCCAATCATGAACTCATTGTACACGGTGGGAAGACAGTTTTTAAGAGGAGGACATGATTTCTGAAGGAGCGGCTTGAGAAGACTTCACTGAAAACAAAGTGTGCACAACACTGAAAAAACAGCAGCCATTTGTACCACTGTTATTAGCAGAAACAGACTTCAAATCCTGGCTCTGCCACTAACTAGCTTTGCAACTTTCTCCTCCTGAGCCTCAATTTCCATTTCTGAAAAGTGAGGCTAATGACAGTATGTACCCGTAGAGCTGTTGTGAGAACTCCATGAGATACCCCATATTATACGTACTGCCGGGTGAATGGAAATAGCACGCACTCAATAAAGGTCCGTTGTTAACACTGTGATTAATATGGAGTTCTCTGTACCGGGTAAATGAGCGCAGCTACGTAGGGAACCCCGCTGCCTTCCCCTTCCCAACTCCCTTCGCTCCCTGGAGGCGTCCGCATGCCCCACCACCCCCGGTCCCTACTGGGCCCAAGTCACTGACCTTCTCAACTTTCTTCGGCCCCTTCACCAGTTCGTGTCTCTTGGGGATTGTTCCCCCGTCGCAACCCATCGCAAACCGGGAGTCAAAGTCTGCAGTAATCCCTCACAGCAGCCACTTCCGGAGTCTCTGGCGACCGTATCAGTCACTTCCGGCGCGCCGCAGTGGCGTAAAACGCCCGTCGTAACGCGGCGGGACGGGGCGGGGCTTTTGCCCAGCCCCGGTTGCCATGGAGAGCGTCGCAAGGGGCTGGGCGTGGCCCCGCGGCTGGGGTTGCTGCAAAGCGCTGGTGGGTCCTCTCAGACCTCAAAGTTCTCCCACTCCCGCGCTGCGGCGCGTCTCTTCCTGTTTCCCATGGGCGCTGGATTTCTGCTGCACCTGACTAATCGCTCGCCCACGCTCCGGGGGCAGGGGGCAGGGGCTGGGGAGCTGAGGGGCTGCACTGACTCAGGAGCACCCTCCGCCCTTGGGACTTGTGCCACCCCAGCCTGTGGGCAGACAGCCCTGGGCTGGGAGCGCGCGTGGAGGGAAACGACTGCATTTTATTAGTGCAATTAGTAATGAATATGAATGCATCTGTTATTTCAGTTAACATTAATGTGTTCAAAAAGAGAACATATCTTTTTACTGAGCGTTACACTCGTAACAAATCTTTTGAAAAGATGTTAGAGATTGTGGGGGAGTAAGACTCTCTAAAGCCTGAAACTTTCTGATACTGCCACGTATATTGTATATATATGAAATATTACACAGAGTTTGTACATGTATGTATTTTGTTCACAGCATCCTGAAGCCAAGGCCAAAAAATTTTGCTTTTATTTATTAAAAATCTAGTATAATTAACAGACGCAGATATAATTATAAAAGATACACTGATGTTTCCATGCCTTTTCCAAGAGACAGTCTGGACCATATCTACTCTGAGAACACAAATCCCTTGCAAAATCCTGGTAAAAATCCCTGATTGTCTGCTTTCGTGCTCTTGACCCTCTCCATTTTTTCCGTTAATTATTATAAATATTAGGAGAAAGCCTATCCATTGTGAGTAAAGCAGACCTTTGTGATTGGATGTTACCATGTTGACCAAAGTGAAACATAAAAAAGCCAATAATATGCCCCACTTGGGAACAGGAAATACAGTATAAGTGGATATGAAAACTTCAAGGGCTATAAAATGGGGCTAATCGTTACTGTGATTAATGGCAATTAAAAGAAAATAAGTCCTTTAATCAGTTAGTCTCTCATTGGCTTATGATTTATTTTTGCAAATCACAAGAACCGTAAACTCCATAGGGACTTTATTTTATTCCCTGTTGCATCCTCAATGGTTAGAAGAATCTTTGGTGCACTCAGTATTAATTCCTCAATACACCAAAAGAAAGTACAGACTTAAAGAGAGGTGACAAGCAGACCCTGAAACGAATGAGGACTCATTTACAGGGGAGGAAACAGACGGCTGGACAGTTCAAATCACTTGTCCAAGGTCAGGCAGCTGATGAGAGCTAGCAATGGGTTCTAAGATTAATTTTCTCTCCCAGCAATGGACAGAAAATCAGATAAAGAATAGCAAAAACCCAGGAATCTTTAGACAGACTCTCAAACCAGTGCTCTTTTCAGGCAAGTAAATCTGCCCCTCACCCAATAGTTTGGGGAAGAAAAAAACCAACCTAACTACAGATGCCTTGTTCTTTAACCTCTCCCCGCAAAGCTGCTGATGACACCCAGTGGTGATGACTGTGCGGGCGTTAAAGTTCAGGCAGCGGGATGTTTTTTCTCTTCCTCCTTGATTTCCTTTTTTAGAATATTGGTCTCTAAGCTACTCTGTGTTGGAAAAGCTACAGAGCTAAAATGTTTGTACAATTTATTATAATCATCAACAGCAACTCATTTGTGTTGCGAGCATTGTCTCCTTTGCTTTATTTGATTTGAGACATTTTGTTTCTAGCCACGCTGGGAAGCAGGTGCGTTATCTGATGCTTCTTCCCACTGCTTTTGTTGAGTGAACCAATAAAGGGTGTTTCTTTACAAGGACCCCTGGTGACAACTTTGCCCCAGTCAAGGTGCGAATGTGAAGGGGAGGAGAGGAATGAAATCATGAAAGAGAAAACCATTATGCTTTAGCAAAACCAGTATTTCTTAACCTTTCTTGGGGTCATTGGACCTGTTGGAGAATTTGATGAAAACTTTAAACTTATTCCCCAGAAAAATATTCATTAGTACACAGGAAATTTTGCTACAGTTCATTACACATATATATTTTAGTAATGGCTTCCTGAGGCCCAAGCTAAGAACCTGTCCTTTACATGCTTTGTAAAGGAAAACAATCAATAAAAAATCAATAATAAAAATAGGAAAGAATTTTATTTGAGCCAAACTGAAGACTAGCCTGGAAGCCAGCTTCCCGGATGACTCTGAGAAACTGCTCCGGAGAAGCAGGGTTTTCAGCACAGTTTTATATCTTGTCAGAACAGAGAACATTAAACAAGACATGGATACGTTTCTTCAAGATTTCAGAAAAACCGACCAGCACATACAGTGAGTAAAGTGTGGCCTTGGCACCTGGGAAGGGGGTTTTATCATCAAAGGGGGACCAGCACTGGCGTCTCCAGGGAGAGGGGCATTTAATCTTTATTTTTAACATGGACATTCTTTACTTCTGGTCAATGTGCCTTTTCTTTAATAATTAAAGCAGATGTACCATGTATGTTTGCTAGGCCACAAAGAGGCTATTTTAGGTAGCATCAAATTCTTAACTCGTGTATACGCCAGAATGACTTCCCTTTATCTCAACATGTGAACATTTCTTTTATCAGCTTCTACTCCCTGTTACAATGGTTCCCAAATATTTCAGACTTCTAAACTGTTGAGGGTTTCATTTCCTGTTAGTTCTGCCTGTGTGCTCGTCCTGAGCTGCAGTTCAAAATTCTGTCTGGAAAAGGCTGATATGCAGACTCATTTTAAAAGTTAGAGTGAAAAAAAACCCAACAATATGTGTTAGGGTTCTTTAAGAATTTCACGACCATCATTTAAGGTTACACTTAGAAAGATGTCCCAAAGATAGTTCAAATAAAGTAGAAAATGGAAGTGATTACTGAGATAATTCAAGACAAAAATGACTTTTCATTTGCAATTTTAGGGAAATATTAAAAAATATTCCAGGATTATATAGGGCCTTACATGAACTGGCCTCTGGCTACTCCTCCCAGCGCATGTCACTCACTTTTCTTTCCCTCACTCAGCTCCAGCCTCGCTGGCCTTTCCAGGTGTAATTTTACTCTGGGCACTCGCCTTGCTGTTCCCTCTCCAGAACACTCTTCCCCTATATTTGCCGGGCCGGCTCCCTTCAGTGATTCATCACTGTGCTCCTGGTTCCTTCCCTGGAGCCATCTCCCCAGACCTCTCCTTCTAAAAGAGTACCCCTTGTCCATGGTGCTGCCCCCATCTTGATTTGATTTCTTCATTGCATTTACCACCATGGATATCATGTTACAAATTTAAATCTTGATATCTTATTCACCATGGATTTTTTTTTGCATTGGTTTTGATTTTTAAGCATTGCATCAAAAGATAATGTATCTTAATCACTAAGTTTTGGGGGAGCCCTCTTACATTTTGCACCCAAGGACTTCCCCCTCATCCTGGCCCTGGTTTACTATCTCCCTCTGCTGGGATGAAAGCTGCATACTACAGGGCCTTTGTTTTGTGCCAGCACTACCTGTAGTGATCATCAGAGATCTGGGCACAGAGGAGGTGCTCAATGAATATTTATTAAATGAATGAATGAAAGGAACATGGCATTAGCCAATAATCTACACAAATGGGCAACTTTTGCAAAGGGGCAGCTTCAGAGACCGGGGGTGCATACTCGTGGAGAACATAAAGTTTTAAAAGGGTGTTTTGTTAAAAAAAAAATAGTTGCCACCAAACCAGAAACATGACTCCCCAGTGCTTATCACACTGGAAGATTGCTCAACGAGGCTTCTCACCACTTCCATCTTCCTGATGAAGTTTAACTTAATTGAGGTCAAGTTGCTACCACCACCACCACCACCACAACACCCACCATTTCCTCTTCCTACCTTGTGAGGAAACAGTACAGGCTTCTGGGCATTAAAGAAAAATACTTAGCAAAAAGTTGCTAAAATCTAAAAAAAAATGTGATTTTATCCTACTTTACAAATGTTTTCAGAAGAAATTATCTTATTGAATTAATCAGTGGAAACTCATCCCATAAATGCTCTTTTTCAAATAAAAAAAGGAAGGAAACACATTTAGCTAAGAGCAGCAGTTTTCATTATGTTAAACCCTATGGTTTTGTACTTTGTTGACGAAGGTCTTTGGTTTTGAACTCATCTCAAAAAAAGAAATATATATAGATAGCTTTATCTCCAGATCTTCCTCCCTCCGTCTCTCTCTCTCTCTGGGTCTTTCCATCTCTCGATCTCTCTACAAATATACATATGCAGTTTCTGAAACCAATTGGGACCTGTTCATTACCTGTTAGAGACCAGGTCACTTAGGAAGGACTAAATGAGTGAAAATATCTCAAGCATTAGACCAGTGTCTGGAGCGCAGTGATCATTAAGCACGTACTGTTCTCACTAGTGGGTAAAAACTTGTTTTGCTGACTGGAGTAAATGTTTACTGGTGCCTCCCGGCAGCAGCCGCTCCTCCTTAAACCACATTCCTAACTTTGCTAGAGGCTCCTCCTGGGACACAGTTCTCCAGGGCTCTTGTGCATTTCTGCACATCTGCTGAGCGGAGGCACTGATGGCATTTTGTAGCAAACACCCTTGGAAGGCAGAGATAACATCTCCCTCTAAGGCAAAGCTTGGTCAGGTTTGCACAGATCTTTTTACAAAAGATTGGGGTTTCCTTCGTTCGGGGGTTTTTTGGCCTTGACATGAGCGCACTGTGTGCACAACATCACACATGCCCACCTTTGCATTGCCCCTGGGACCTGAGGGGAGTGAGGAAACGATGGAAAGAGAAGCACAAAGTGCTTGCCATGCTGTAAGAAAAGTCCCTTGACTCCGTGCGGGAGAGTTGATGCAATCAGGCCTGACTAATATCCTTAGAAAGACGTCCTTGAAAGGTTGGCTTCGGAATCTGGATTTGGGGAGAGTTCCCACCATCCCCAGGGTCGGTAAGAATGGTCT